GCAAAGCCAAAACTGACTGCCATGAAAGCATCGGGTAGAAGCAGATGCAATGCAGTGAGGGGTCCCTGGGGCGAGCAGGGTGCTCGGACACCTGGCAGGATTGCTTGGTGCTGCCAGACTGCCGGCTGGCTGATTGTTTGCTTGTGTGCGTGTAATCTACAGTACAGCAGTTCAAAGGCTCTTGGATGCAAGCTGTGCCTGCTTGCTCACTGCTCTGTGCTGCTGGCCGGGCCATCCCTGGAGAAAGCCCCTGTGCAGGGGGGGACTGGGGCTGGAGCTGCAGTAGTAGCCCGTTCTGCTGTGCCACTCGTTGCTGCAAAGAAGGGCAGTTGGCTGGTGGCTTTGACCCAAAGCTAGGCTGTGCTGGAAGGAGCCAAACTCCCTGCCAAACCCTGAGCTTCTGCTTGGCTTTTTGTCTTGGAAGCTTTCTCTAATGGAAACTCCCGTTTCCTGCTGCAAGAGCAGCAGCTCCTCTAAGAGCCAAGGCCTGCCGCTTCCCCCTTTGCAGCTGCACTGCCATCCTGTACTGAGTTTTGTGTACTTCTAGTTAAATTCTCCAAGCAAACGAATTGTGGCTTGCTCTTACTTGAGCCCTTCTGGGCAGGCAGTGATTTGGGTCACCCTGGGAGCAGAACCCTTCTGTTGTGGTGCCCAGTTCAGCCCTTTCAGAGCTCCAGCCTGGCTCAGTGACCACTCTGACCTCCACCTTGGCACCGAGGCTCGGCCCTTCCCTCTCCCAGTCTGGGGGGAGGCAGAAGCGCCCAAGTGCAGGTGGTACCTATTGGCTGAGGCTGTGTCTGCTCACCTGGCTCCCCTTGTGTCCCACCCGTGCCAGGCCCCACGGCCACCAGGATCACAAGCTTTGCTGTGCTCACTTGGGTTCCTTCACTTAAGCCCCTTGTGACTGCTTGCAATGCTTTCTTCAGACCCATGTCCTCTCTTTTTGGGGCAGTTCCCTTCTAATGTCATGAGATGCTCCTCAGTGGATGTTGCTAATGTACGTTTATCCGAAAGGGACAGAGCCCTCGCTGCTGTGTCTGGCCTTTCTGATGGTGGTTTTATACGTGCTGCCTTTGTCCTTCTGCCCCTTCCAGGGCTGCTTCCTTGGAGCTCTGGGTTTCCTTCTGGTTTTGGATAGCATTAACCTAGGTGTACTTCAAAGAGTTGGGGTTTTGGTTTGGTTTTTTTTCCTCCCCTTGGGGAGATCCTCAAACACAGCTGCCCACACAGGTGCATTGCCGGCAGCGGTGACTTCAGGCGCTTACAGGCAAGTGTCTGTCCTGTGAAACCCACGAGGGGTGGGGACTGAGCTCCAGCTCTCCTCCTGCTTGGTGTACGGTGGGCCCAGCAGACCCTCTGAAATGTGCTGCAGCCTCACCCTGTCCTGGGCTCAAATTTAGCTGTAGCAGGAAAACCTATTGTGGGTAGGTGACACCAGTGGGGCTGTCAGGGCGAGGGGCTGTGTGCCCTCGGGGTTTGGTGATAATGAGTCATGGCTGGATCTCTGGGCCTGCAGCAGAGCTCTGAGGGTGCAGTGCTCTCATCTGTGTCACTTTTTTTTTTTTCTTCTTTAGTCAAATTAACCGTTTGGTTGTCTGTGCAATATTCTCTGTTCTGAACTATTCTGCATCTCCCTGAGCCTTTTCTAGCTGGGGTGAAAACCAGGAACAATTCTAACAGCTGGTAGTTTTGTAACGATGACTTTCTCCAAACCTTTTACAGACTTGCAGTTAACAGCAATTAAAGGAATTCTACAGAGTCTCTGCCTGTGTTGCGTGTTCTCATTTCCTTTGCCTGTGGGATGGGGATGGCTGCCCCAGGAGGGTCTTGTGCGTCAGCTGCTTTAAATTTCCCTTTTCTCCCACCCACTTCAGGGGATGTTTGCTTAACTCGGAAAGGTGGACCCATGGCTGCTCTGAGCTCGTGTCTGCCCTGTTCCAGCTGGGGGCTTTGAGGGAGCTGACAAAAATGCCTGAGTATGGACCAGACCTTGTCTCTGCCAGCCAGAGGCCTGGCACACCACCTGTGAGGCTGGAGAGATGGGAAATGCTAACCTCAAAATTTATTGTAATTTTAGAAACAATCTGTTCCGTTCAGGGGGAGGTGGGCGAGTCGTTCTCGGGTTATTCAGCCATGGGTGCCTGCTGACCACATCGATGGAGGGTCTCAGGGCTATGTTGGGTTCCAGGAGCATTCTCAGGAGGTTCTGGCACTCCTTGGAGATCCCCAGGTGCCGAGGGACAGAGACACCTTTCTGCTGCTGGCGCAGCATCTTGGGGATGTTGGTGTTGTCGAAGGGCAGGCGGGCGCAGAGCAGGACGTAGAGGATGACACCCATGCTCCAGACATCACTCTTCTGGCTCTCGTGGGGCACACCATGCAGCACCTCGGGTGCCGCGTAGGCTACGCTGCCGCAGAAGGTCCGGCTCAGCTCCCTGCGGTCCCTGGGGAGCAGCTTGGCGAAGCCAAAATCTGCCAGCTTCAAGGTGTGGCCCTGCAGCAGGACATTCTCACATTTGAGGTCCCGGTGGACCACCCTGTTGGCGTGGCAGTACCGGATGGCCTCTACCAGCTGGCGGAAGAGTGCCCTGGCGTGGCGCTCTGGCAGGGGACCCTTGTGGAGCACGTAGTCAAAGATGTCCCTGTCCACCAGCTCCATCACAAGGCAGATCTTCCCCTCTGCGGATTCCAGTATCTTGTGCACACGGATGATGTTCCTGTGGTGCAAGCGTGTGACAATCTGGAGCTCCCGGGGCAGGAATCTCTGAATAAAGTCTGCCGAGAGAGGAGGTGGATTTGCTCACAGGGACGTCCCTGAGCTGCTGGCTCTGGGCACCCCTCTGGGACTTGGTAGAGGGAGGGCAGGTTATTCCTGGGATGCCCGATTCCTTACGGCCTGGCACCATTCCCCAAGGGATGCTTGTGGAGTGGGGATACTGGGCTCCACCAGCACTTTGCCGTCCTTGCGGTTGGAGGAGTGGCCACCTAGACAGGTCCTGTTCCTCAGGCCATGGTCCTGAGCT